TACTGTTAAGTCAGCTTTACTGAGTCAAATCCCTTATGCATTTGTCACTGTCGCCTACCTTCGATAAGGAAAGCAATCTTAACATTTCTATGAGAGGGAGTTGTTAGTATAAACATTTTACATTTAACATCTGGATGCCAATTGGCTATAAATATAGGGTTAGAACAACTAATCAACTTGTTTATTTTAATGTCTTCTCTTTTGTGTCGAACGGGTCTCAGTGTTCGTTTACTAAAGCAATTCATCAGTTCGGCACGGGATTAAACTTTTCTAAGTTAATCACGATCGTGCCTGAGTTTAATTTGGAAACAATCATTTACAGAAGTCGAGGTAAAAGATAATTTTAATATATTTCACACAGACACAAAAAAGTAGTTGTGCTCTTTCAATATACCAAAAACGCGATAGGAATTTGAACTCTTGACTCGCGCTTTTGCGCTTTTCTGCTCGGAGATGAATTGTATTTGCTATTCATTTTCGAACTAGGTAATCAACGCACGCGAAAAGCACTAATCGCTTGTGTGCTATACACTAATGCTCAAGATAATGTTCATTTCTTCCGCTTAACTGAATTTTTTTTGTTTTCGTTAAAGGTAAGTCAAGACTCGAACACCACCCATCTTAAATGTCTCTGCAATCATTTAACATCTTTTGGTGGAAACTTCATCCAAGCACCAAACCCAATTGACTTCGACAAAGTTTTTGCTGAGTTTTCAAACCTTGCTGAAAGTGGCAATATTTCAGTACTTGTGACAATTGCCAGTTTTTTCCTTCTGTACTTCGTTGTCTTAATCCTCGCAAGGAGGGCCGACAAGAGAGATGTAGATAAGGTAATCATATTTCAACTTGTAGTTGTGTATTTTGAACTATTTTCACCTCCGAATGTTTCCTTTTTTTCAGATTTGCCCTCCTAAATTGATACCGCTTGTGAGGGAAGGAGCCTATTATTACGATATGGTTATAAGCACGGGCGTTTGGAAACATTCAGCAACAACAGCTAACATAACCATCAGTATCAAGGGCGAAAATTATGGGCATAGTCAAATTCTATTGAACGAGAAAGGGGAGACGAGTGAGCTTTTCGAACGAGGGAGTATCAACGGCTTTGTTCTCGAGATGAAAGAATCCATTGGCCCTTTAAAAGAAATTACTTTGGATCACGATAATTCGGGTAACAATCCGTCTTGGTTTGTGGAAACCGTAGTTATCCAAGATCGTCAGACCGAAGAAAGATGGGTTTTCCCCATCAATAGATGGCTTGCGTTGGAAAAAGACGACGGCCAAATAGAGGTAACTGTGGATAGCAAATCTTACTCTGCCTTCTCAGCTCAGGTTCGCTCGCGCTTGGCCAGAAAACTTGCCGACAGTCACTTGTGGATGTCAGTGTTTGGGAAAGCATGTAGCAGTACCTTTACACGTGTGCAAAGAGCTTCATGCTGCCTTTCAGTTCTGTTTAGTGCCATGATAGCAAATGCCATGTTCTATAACATTGGTGGCGAATCTGATGGTGCTATACAGGTTGGGCCTTTTAAGTTTTCCTGGACACAGATAGTCATCGGAGTACAAAGTGGCATTATCATTGCACCAGTAAACATAATAATTGCCTTCTTGTTTAAGTCTAGTAGACCGAGGAAGAAAAGGAGCGAGAAATACCAAAGTACAGACGGGGCCCAACGACTTTTGGATGAAATGACGGACAGTGGTTGTATGCTTCCTCATTTCTTTGTTTATTTGAGCTGGTTTCTCTGCTTCTGTACGACAATGGCA